AACAACGGCGGCGGCGGCGGCGACTACGCAGCTCCTATAACGGGCGCCAGAGAGAGCACGAGACAAGCCACAACGCTTCCACCCACCGACTCTCCAGCCCGACTCCGGACTCTTTGGCCGTCCCCGACTTCTCCCAGCTCTCGTGCCTCGACTCCCTCCCTCGACTCGTTCGTCGCCATTGGACAGCGGCGCACCCGGCTCCGCCCACGGCTCCCTTCCCTGGCCCTCATTGGAGGCCTCGCTCCGCCCCCTTCCAAGCCTTTCACTCTCTAGTCTAGCGAAACTAGGAAAAGCGCCGCGGCTTTGGGCCCTACGGCGCTTGCCGCTTCCCCCCCCTCCTGCTCGTCCCCGCCCCCGCTTTTCCTCTCACCTCGCGCTGGGCCCATCCCCTGCTCTCGCCTCGGAGATTTTAGAGGCCCCGAGACTGACCGACCGGAGGTCAAATGGGATGCCCTGCCAGTTTGGGAGAGGTGATCATGGGTCGGAGGAAACCCCCCCCCCTTTAAATACAGGGCCGCCTGATCGGGAAGAAATGGAGATGGCGGGGTTTTGGAGTGTAAAGGTGCAAATCTATTGCACAGCATCCGTTCCCTTTGCACTTAAACAGACTTTTATTCTCGTATAACCTAGTAGAGGGGTGTGGGGTAAAGGAGAGTCCAAGAAATAATAAACGGATCGTCATGTGTTTTACATGGGATAGTTACCAAGTCATCATCAAATCACAGATCCTCTCTGTGCTCAGAGACTACAACACAGAAATCATATGTCCTTTGGTCCATGACTTTGCAGTGGCACAAAAACACCAACAGGAGGCAGAGATCCTCGTGGATCTACTTAAGTTTTAACATAGGATCATCCCCAAAGCACGGTCCAATCACAGATCCCATATGTGCTCACAGACTACAAGACAGAAACATATGTCCTTCGGCCCATGACTTTGAAGTGATGCAAAAACACCAATCCAAGGCATGGATCCTCATTAATTTTTCATGGAATTTCCTGAGACCACTATCAATTCATAGGTCCTATTTCTGTGCATGACACAGCACCGGCAGAAAACATGGATCCAAGGCATCTTCATGCCTCTATCTACGTTTTAAGTGAGAATATATCTGCAAAGTATTAAGTAATCTGTAGCCACAGACTACAGCACACAAATCATTTCCGCCTTCTAGTCTATTTTAAAGGTGCCAGTCTATGTACCCTTAGGCAACAAGCACAGTCCCAGGATGTCTGAAAAGAAGATATGGTGTAAAATATGGTTATGATGAATGCTTCTTCATGGATCCATGTGATTCTTTTATGTCACCCTCACTGAATAACTGCCAAAGCACTGGTTTCATATATGCATACAAAATGCATAAATTCCATATTTCAAGAAAATAGCATGATACAATGAGATGATCCAAGATATGGATCCTCTTGAAATCACCATAAAATCATGTTTCACCTGTGTTGTACTGAACTGTAAGAATCACAGCTCACTCACTTCAAGGTGCCACTATAACCGAAAAACATTGATCCAAACTCATGGATCCAAACTGCAGATCCACATGAATAGCTAAACTCTTGATCCATCTGTTTTCATAGACTGAAGCATAAAACAGACAGCCTCAATGCACAGCATATCCAGGATGCCAAAAAACCAAACCAAACCAAACAAACAAACCTGAAACACAGATCCTTGAGAACCATACGAGTTTAAACTGGGGTCATCTCCAAGCTATCAAGATATATATCCCATATCTGCCAAAATACTGAACCATCAAAAACTCAAATTGCCACAATGCAACATGAACATGGACAATGTCCCTCCCCCCAGGAACCAAATGGGGAGCAATACTGGCTGCAGGTGTGTGGCACCCAAGCAGTGCTGTATGGCTACACACCCCGCAGCTTAGAGGGGAAGCTGAACATGGGTTCTGGGTAAGGTTTCAAGGAGGCCAACGTACTATTTATGCAACACTCATAGGTACTCACCATTACGTTAAACATCTCTTCCATATACATGTCATGTCATAGGCATCCTTCAGTCTCGAGAGACTATGGTAACATGCTCTGAATCGAGGAGTGTCCTCTCCAGAGCATGAAACCCGGGTAAGGTAATATGGAGGGTAGGCTGTTACCCAAGCAGCAGATTCCCCCCTCTCCACATTGCTGAAATGGTCCAATGGAAAGGCAAGAGCCAATCCAACTGGTTCCAGCAATGTCGCAGGAGTTGGCAGAACGACACGAGCTGCCTTCGGGACTCCAGCTCCGGATTTTGCCTCAAGGTTTACTCCTGAAGCCTTTTCCATGAGTGGATATAGCCACAAGGCAGTGGAGGTTTGAAATCGGAGTTTTCCTTCTCCTACATGGGCTGCCTTCCATGGCTGACGAGCTCCACCTACCCGGCCTGCTCTTTAATAGTGCGAAAGTATGATATCCATATACAGGGAAGCAGGAAAACAACCTATCCACTATTTCATGGCACTACTGTGGCAGAAACACATGGATCTGAGTAAGGATCTTCTCAAAATATATTTCATCTGTGTTTTCCAAATCTATGGCAAAAAAAGGTTAACCCACACCGCTACAGCTCTAAAACATGGATTGTAATCGCAGATCCTCATCAATCCGCATTGTTTTATTTGGCACCTGCTTCAAACCATGTATATCACAATCCTCTTTGGTGTACACAGCGAACCCACAAACATCACTGATCCCTTGCTGTATGATACCACTGAGGTCCAAGATCAGGGGTCCACTAGATTTTTCCATAAAGGCTTCTCCAAACCACTTTCAAATCACAGATTTTGCCTTAGTCTACAGAATGATCCATAGCAATCACATTTGTCTTGCTGTAGTACACTGCTTTGTTGCGGCAACATATATTTCAAGCACGGATTCTCCTGGATCTATTGGAATTTTAAAGGGCTTCCACAGAACACCACAATTGAATCATATATCTGGTCCATAATCACAGAGTGAATTAAAAAAACATGGATTCCTCACCTCACAGTACTATCAACATGCAAACACTTGGATACGAGGTACAGATTCCTTATACATCCGCATGCTTGTTACCTGGCACTCACATTACAACACAGCAAAAAAATATGGATCCCTAAACTCCTGTTTCTCTCTACCCAAGCCCTATTCACAGTCTGTGACCCCATCTGTGCCTACCAGCTTGAACCAAAAGAACCAACCAAAAAGACATGAAAAAGAAAAAAGAAAAGGAAAAAAGGAGAAGAATTATGGGTCTTAGGTATGGATTCTCTTGGAGCTATGAGAATTTCACATAAGCAGGACTCTCAAATGTTTGATCGTATGTGTGCCCAAAAATGGAACCACAAAATCACAGAGTCATTCAAAGTGCTATCTACGTACAATACATGGATCTGAGATACAGATCCCCTTGGATCTAAAGGACTTTACAGAGAATACAAGAAAGTCTAAATTCACAAATCTTCTCCATGGCAATAGGCACTGCCCCCCTTTACCACATCACCAAGGCACAGAAACATAGATCTAGGGGACAGATTGTCATGGATCTTCATGAGATTTTTTGTTGTTTGTTTTTGTAGGTGTTTAACTGAAACCAACCAGACATTTATAGGTCCCATTTGTATCTTCAGGCTAAACAGCAAATAGGTGGAACCTCTACTTACGAATGTCCCTACCCACGAACAATCCAATTTACGAACAGCTGCATTCGCAGAATTTAGCTTCTACTTGCAAACAGAGCTTCAACATACGAACAAAAAAAACCGCGGGGGAGGTGGGGAAAGTGCAAACTTGAAACTTTCAGTTGACCGTTGGCCAACAAAGAGGCTGTTTGTCTGCTACCTGGCTCGTCCCAGTGGTTAGAGAGTCGATAGGGAGAGAGTCTTCAGACTGCCTGGTACAGTACTGCCTGGTACTGTACTGTACGGACTGTATTTTTTGGCTTTTTTAATTTTTCGATTTTTTAATTTTTAAAAAAAACAGAGACTGCCTGTTCTGGGTGAGTACATACACTTTACAGGGTTTTTTTGCAGCTTGGTGGGGGGTAGGGCTAGATGAGCCATTATGTTTCTGTGCCCTTATGGGTCTTTCACCGTGTATTTAAAATGTGGAATGTAGACTGTAATATTAAATTTAAATTGAATGTGAAAATTAGACTGTAATTTAAAAATGTAAATTTTATTTATTTATTTTTGCATTTTGTGGCTTCTAGGGTTTGTGTACTGTGACCTCTTTGTTGTTTTAAAATGTGTGGGTTTAAAATGTGACTCCAAAGTCTTTTTTTCTTTGGGGATCTGTTTGCTGTAATAATGGTTGCTGGTTGTTGATGCAGGCAGGCAGGCTTTTAAATGGAGTTTAAAATGGAGTTTTAAAATGGAGTCTACTGTAGACTCAAGGCTCTCCCCCCCCCCATTGTCTTATCTCTCTCTCTCCCTCTATGCTCTCTTTTTCTGATGAGGAATTCTGTGCTGGAATAATGCTTGCTGGATTCTGTGGCTTTTTTTAAAGGTGTTCTGTTTAAAAGGTGTTCTCCTGCCTTTTTTAAAGTTAAAAGGTGCTTGGTTTTCTTTAAAAGGTGCTTGTTTTTAAAGGTGTTCTGTTTAGAAGGTGTTCCCTCCCTCTCCCTCCTTTCCTGCCCTTTTTTTGACCCAAGTTCATCTTAAGTCAAAAGAAGAAAAATTCTCCCCCTAGTGGTAGAGTACAGATTAACCGGCTCTGCATTAGTTCATATGGGAACTAATGCTTCGACTTAAGAACGGCGCCTCTACAGTGGAGTCTCGACCTACAAATGGCCCCACTTACGGACTTTTCGACGTATGTACAGCTCCAGCTGCAAAATTTTGGATCGACTTGCGGCCGGAGCTTCAACGTACGGACGAAAAAGGCAGGGAAAAAGGGCAGGAAATTCAAACCATTGGTGGTGAAGAGGCTGCTTCTTTAGCTCTTTCGCCCCAACGGTTTGGAAAAGGGAGGGAGCCGGGTGGTGGGGGAGAAAGGCAGGAGCTGATCTGGCCTTTCTCCCCCACCGGGCAGCTTCTCCGCTGCTGAAATTGCCATCGGGGCAGCCCTTTGGGAGAAGCTGGGTGGTGGGGAAGAAAGGCAGGAGCCGATCCGGTCTTTCTTCCCTCACCGCGCGGCTTCTCTGCTGCTGAAACCACCATCGGGCGCAGCACTTTGGGAGAAGCCTCGCGGTGGGGGAAAAAGACCGTATCGGCTCCTGCCTTTCTTCCCCGCCACCCGGCTTCTCCCAAAGGGCTCCCCGATGGTGGTTTCAGCAGTGGAGAAGCTGCCCGGTGGGGGAGAAAGGGCTGGAACAGATTAATGAGTTTTCAATGCATTCCTATGGGGAATGCATTTTCGACCTACGGACTTTTTGACCTAAGGACACCGTTCCAATACAGATTAAGTCCGTAGGTCGAGACTCCACTGTAGATAAGAACGAAAAACAACCGGAATGGATTAAATGGTTTCAAATGCATTCATATGGGAAATTTTGCTTCTACTTACAAACGTTTCAACTAACGAACATCTTCTGGGACGGATTAAGTTCGTAAGTAGAGGATCCACTGTACCATCGGCCTCTTCATTCACAGCACAAACATTGGTCACAAGGCATGAATTCCCACATGATTTTTACATGCGACCCACCTGATGAGGCCTTCACATAGATTTAGCAGGGCCCATAGATAGAACTTTACAAATTGGCTATTCCTTGCTGTATAACTCTATAATGCTTTAAAAACACAGCTCCATGGCTGGCATCCTAACTGATTTTAATATAGATACCCTACTAACTCTCTGAACACTTCTGTGCCAATAGGCTTAAGTATAAACATCACAAATAGCTCAATTCATAGCACTGCTGTACTGCAAAAATATGGATGTGGGACACAGATTCCATTGTTTCAGCTACACCTGGTGAAAATGCTGTTAAATAACTATTAAAAGAATGGGTGTCCTGTCCTCCATTCATGTAGTCACTCTATTCTTGATGGAGGACTTTTCCAGTGCAACCATGACACCATACAGCCACCATAGTTAATCAGAGCACACTTTCATGCCAATGGACTCAGGTACAATGGTTGCAAATTTGGAAACTTGACATTAATTTGAATGTCATGGTGCAAAGACCTAGAACTTGGACATGGCTGCAGGAGTTCCCTTTAGTCTTACAATTAATACTAGAGAGATCAGAACCAAGTCACAATTAACATTTTTGGCCACATGTTCCTCCACCATAGTAAACATTAGTAATAACTGCATACTGTCAAACTGATTCTGACTTATGGTGATCACTTCCAAGGTTTTCTAGGGATGCAGTGTTCAGAAAAGATTTTCCATTTTCTTCTTCTCAGGCACCCCGGGACTGTACTGATTATCCAAGGTAAACAGACTGGCTCTTCACAGTGGCAGAACAGAGAATTGGTTTCTGTGGTGCACTCTGTAGGCACAGATGCAAACTATGATTTGATGCTGGTTTGGTGAGGACCTGACATAAAAATCATGTGGATCCATATTTTTGCCTCACAGATGAAGGCTCTGTGATGCCTTTGGTTCAGTGTGTGTGAACAGGTGTGATGTATAGTTTGAGAGATTTGTGGATCCATGAGGACACTTTGGATTGGTGTTTTTGTATTTGATGATTTCTTTGATGGGTGGGGAGTGTTTGGGGATTTTTTTTATGTGTGTGCATGTGGGTCTGGTCTCTGGGTGTCTGTGTGAATTTTGTTGCATCTATATACTATGTATAGACTTACAATGACAATAAATAAATTATTTATTATTTATTTATTTGTAGTCTGTAAGCACAAATGAGGCCTGTGACTTGACAGTGGTAGGGGATGATTCTATGCACAAATGATGTGGATCTGTGCATCCGATCAATGAGGTTCCATGGTTCTGCACCACTGCTAAGCCATGCATTCAAGGACCCATGATTTCTGTGTTGTAATCTGTAGGCACAGAGAGGCCTATGATTCAACAGTGGTTTGGAGATGATCTTACATAAAAAATAATGTGGATATGTACATCAGTGTTCTGATGCATCCATGATTTCTGTGTTGTAGTCTGTGGGCACAGATGGTGATTCAACAGTGGTTTGGGGTTGATCATACATAAAAATCATGTGGATCCATGTCTTCTACTGGGGTTTTCCCACTATTGCAAAACCATGTGCTGAAGGACCCATGATTTTTGTCATGCAGTCAATGGGCACAGATGGGATTTGTGATTTGACAGTGGTTTGGGGATGATCCTATGTAAAAATCATGTGGATCCATACCTTAGTGTTTTTGCATCACTCCAAAAATGTGCTGATAGAACTATGATTTCTGTCTTGCAGTTTGTGGTCACATATAGAATGCTATGATTTAATAGTGATGATCCTACATAAAAATCATATATGGATCTATGAGGATTTGTGGCGGATTTATATTTTTGTACCAGTGCAAGGATGGAACCACGGCTTCTGTCTGTGGATGTGTCTGACTTACAGTGAATTCTGCTGGTTCATCATAAGTCAGAAACATCTTAACAGAGAAAAAGCCTCTCACCTGCCTTCTCCCCAAATGAGTCACTGCCTGGACAGAGAGCAAGAGGGCAGCTATCAGAGATCTCTTCTGCTAAACCTACACATTCACTTGTTGGCGCCTTCTGGTCACTGCAGCACTTGGCGGATTCCTTCTCCCAGCGTGGTATCTTCTCCTTATACCACCTGGACAGCAAGCAAAGCTGACAGTGGTTCCATACCACCTCTACCCTCATTTCTGACAGGACTGTCTGACACTCTGAGTTGAGCAGGGATTGGTCCTTGAAAGTCCACAATCAGTACTTGGGAAAGTTATTTTTTTCAGACTACCACAACTAGAACACTAGTTCAGAGGTATTTCTCCACAATTTTTCCCCAACGATGGGTCCTTGGAAAGAACATCCATTCGATGGAGGCAAGAATAGAAAAGAACTATGAGAATACTGTACGCGGTGAGGTATGTGCGCAAGAAGGGGCAGAACACAGAGCCGAATCAACACACCACCACACTAGGCAGCCTCCACCTTTCCTTGGAATTCAGCTGCCAGACTGCAAGGTAGTTAGCAACCTCCTTTCACACCAACTACGTATTGAAACATGGAGCGGCGGCTGGCCAGAAACGGAAACCGCGCAGCACCGCAATCTGGGGGAGGGGAGTAAAAACCAGCACACGGCAAGATCTCAGAGGAGATCCCGATTCCTTCCAGCACCACTGCCACCATCACAGCCGCCCCCTGTTCTCCTGGAAAGGCCAGCCAACTCTCAGTCGTCCCCGACTTCCGAAGACACGCGCCCCTTCAACTCTCTCTTTCTGCAGTCAGCGTAGGGACGGAGACGCAAACTGGCTCGATCGCCGGGAGGACTGGGGTGGGGGGGGTGAGGAGAGAGAGGAAAGAGGCGACGATCGGCTCCCCCCCCCTTTTTTTTTCTTTTTTACCTTCACAGACGCCCGCTTCGTACTCCGTGAGCGAGTCCCCGCTGAGCGGAGGGCGGATCACACAGCGCAGCCCGCGGTCGCAGGCGCCGTGGAGCCCGAAGAACCCCCCGCAACTCTCGTTGCGTTGCCGGGCGCACATGAAGCAGCAGCCACAGATGTCCAGCACGACGCCGCCGGGGCAGTTCTTGGGTTCCTCACACCTGGACTCGTCGCAAGGCAGGCAGACGAAGGCCCGCGTCCCGGTCTCCCCTAAGAGCAGCAGCGCCAGAAACAGTAGCCACCCCACCGACCAAGGCCGGCCGCCGCCGCCCCGGCGCCTCCGACCCGCGGAGACCATTGCCAGGTACATCCTGGCCAGGGCCGAAGAAGCAGCCCCGGCTGTCCGCCAACGCAGTCCTCGGGTCCTGCAGGGGGCAAAGCGACCCAGACCCAACTGCGGAGGGAAGGGGAGGGGAGGGGGCCGCCGCCTCAGCCGCCGCCGCCTTCTCCGGCCCCTCAAGAAAAGTTTCCTCACAGCGGCAGCGGCGGCTCCGGCCAAACTTCTGCTACTCCAGGCAGCTTCCCGCTCCTTTCCTCGTTCGCTCGTCTCCCTCCTCGCCCCTGTGAGGAAGCGCCTCTCTCTCCTCACGGTGCCGGCCGCCTGCCTGCTTCGACCGCTCCCTCTAAGAAGTCCTCGGTCCTTCTTCTCTGTCTTTTTTTTTCTCTCTCTCTCTTTCCCTTCGGCGGTGGCGGCGGCGGCGCGCGCGCGCGCACCCCGGCAACAACAACGACGGCGGCGGCGGCGGCGACTACGCAGCTCCTATAACGGGCGCCAGAGAGAGCACGAGACAAGCCACAACGCTTCCACCCACCGACTCTCCAGCCCGACTCCGGACTCTTTGGCCGTCCCCGACTTCTCCCAGCTCTCGTGCCTCGACTCCCTCCCTCGACTCGTTCGTCGCCATTGGACAGCGGCGCACCCGGCTCCGCCCACGGCTCCCTTCCCTGGCCCTCATTGGAGGCCTCGCTCCGCCCCCTTCCAAGCCTTTCACTCTCTAGTCTAGCGAAACTAGGAAAAGCGCCGCGGCTTTGGGCCCTACGGCGCTTGCCGCTTCTCCCCCCTCCTGCTCGTCCCCGCCCCCGCTTTTCCTCTCACCTCGCGCTGGGCCCATCCCCTGCTCTCGCCTCGGAGATCTTAGAGGCCCCGAGACTGACCGACCGGAGTCTTTAAGTCCCGTATAATCTACTAGAGACATTGGCAGGTCTTGGAGAACATTCCCTTCCGCAGGTCCACTCCCGACAGTTAAGTCACCAAGGGGAAAGCGGAGCCTCCGGATACTTTTAATGCCTTCACTGCATTGTTGGGAAACCTCTGTTTAGGCGTCGTGCGGTTCGTTTTAAGCCATCGTGCACAGAACCTTGGCTTGTCTGATTCCTTGGGCTGACTTGTCTTCAGGGTGCCCTGGGTGATACTGGCGAAAGGTATGTTCCAGTTCCAGAATGGCATAGCAACTGGACGGGCGGTATGGATGTAGGATACTTCAGATTTATGGGATATCTACAGAATTCTCTGTAAGTCAGAAGCATCTTGATATTACATAACAAGTCTCTTGCCTAATAGACTTTTCAAGGTACAGTATGTGAGATATTCCAGGAGCTGCTTGCTATTGCGACTGCCTGGGGAGTTCCCATTGGAAGGAGACTTAAAGTCATGTCTCCTGAGTCCTAGTCTGACAAGGCTTCCATTATGCCACACAGGCTCTTCAGAGGAGGGTTATTACGGGTAAGTATAATTACTTGAATGGGAAACCAGCAAGAATCTCCCAGTAATGCTAGGAAATACCTGTCTGAAGCTTTGAAGATCCACTGCCAGTCAATGCCCAGAATGAACTAGAGTCCAGTGGTCCCCAACCTTGGGCCTCCAGGTGTTCTTGGACTTCAACTCCCAGAAATCCTGGTCAGCGGAGGTGGTGGTGAAGGCTTCTGGGGGCTGTAGTCCAAGAACATCTGGAGGCCCAAGGTTGGGGACCACTGAACTAGACCACTGGTTTCCAACCTTGGGCTATTCATGTGTTCTTGGACAGCAGCTTCCAGAAACCTTGCAGTCCAAGATCACTTGGGTTACTCAAGGTTAGAAACCACTGGACTAGACAGACAAATGACCTGATTCAAATTTGAGGCAGTCTCATGCATTCTTATGAGAATTGGTAGTACCTGATTTTGCACAATATCCAGGCAAAGCAGCTGTTGTGATTGTACCCAGCAGAACTTGGGGAAGTTACTGTTTTGAACTACAACTCTCAGAATTCTCCAACCCTAGCTAGAAATCCTGAGAGCTGTAATTGGAAAAGAGATAATCTAGTACAGCTTTGATATATCCCAAGGCACCCTGCTTGACTAATATGAGTGAGACATCAGGTCAAATGACTGGGAGAATCTTGTGGCTATAATAATAATAACCTTAGACCGTTAGAACTGCAGAGCTGAAAGGGACCCTGTGGATCATCAAGTCCAGCCCCTGTCAAGGAGATACAGTGAGGGGGATCAAACTCCTAGCCTTTGGCTCTGCAGCCAGATACCTAAACCACTGAGCTGCTCTTTTCCATGTCTGCTTGCTTGCTCATGTTTGCTTGCTGTGAAAATTACTTCGGAGATGTTTTTTTAAAGGGGCAGAGCTACTGTGTTTCATAAAGGTAAAGCAACTCCAGACTTTAGGTCAGAATAAATATCTTTGTTCAGTTATGTAGGGCCAGCCATATCAACAAGACTGACACAGTGGAGAGATATAAATTCTTTTCAAGAAAGTACCAGGAAGGAGAAAGCAAATTGATGGATAACAGGGTTGTGAACTTTAACCAGCAGATGTACTCTTGGTGAGCTAAAAGACTGTGGATCAAAATTGCCTACGGCTTATTGGGTCACCAGTTGCAAAAACACTGCTGAGAGAGAATCATCTTACCTTAGATCTTATAAGAGATGGAAGTGGTCAAGCCAATAATTCTGGATTCAGGCTGATAATTCTGATTTCTACTAATGAAACCAGGTGCCTGTAGAAGCAGATGCATACAGTGAGTTTTAGGAAAAATTCAGGATCCAAGGCTGGCTTCTCTGTCATAGCCTGATATTTGTCATTCTAGCCTCTTTGTACCAGAGCAGTGGTTCCCAATCTTTCAGCTCCCAGAAATCCTGGCCAGCACTCCCAGCTTCTGGGAGTTTTAGTCCAAGAACACCTGGGGACCGAAGGTTGGGAACCACTGCACCAGAGTCACGTTGTTGTCAGTCGAAACTGACTTACAGTGACTCTGACAGGGCTTTCAAGGTAAGTGTGGTATTTAAGGAGTGTGGTTTTACCAGTTCCACTTCCCCAGTGAGTTTCCATAGTCATAGGGGGAATAGAATCTTGTTCTCTGGAGACCTAGTCTGTCACTCTGTCCATTACGCCACGCAGGGTACTGCACCACACTAGAGTCATAGGGAACCTTTCTGCCTCACATGCCATTTGGTAGGCACTTGTGTTAGGTTTACAAGTGGATGTGTTGGCCTGGAATGAGTGCACAGATTAGGGCATACAGTGGTGCCTCAACTTACAACCGTCCTGACATATAACCATTTTGAGTTGCGACCAGCGCTAGCTGCAAAATTTTGCTTTGACTTGCAGTCAGAGCTTTGAGTTGCAATCAAAAGAATGCAAAATTTTGCTTTGACTTGCAGTCAGAGTTCGAGCTGCAATCAAAAGAGCCAGGGAAAAAAAGGTGGGGAATTCAAATTAGAGGGCTAACCGTTGGTCGGCGAAGAGCTTCTTTGTAGCTCTTTCACCCTAATGGTTAGAGTGTGTCCATCGGAGGAGGCTTGGGACTGCCTGGTGCTGCTTTCTGGTTCTGAGTAAGTACATTTACAGGGCATTGCAGGGTGAGTTTGGGCTGGGGGGGTTATGTTTCTGTGCTGTGGTTTTTGTGTGTTTTGATGTGTTTATTTTTTCAGCCCCAGCGCCTTCCGATGGGCCTTGCTGTGCTGTTTATTTTTGGTTATTTTTTAAAGCCCTGGTGCCTTCCAATAGGGCTGCTGTGTGCTTTATTTTTGGTTGTTGTCTTTTCAAGCCCTAGTGCCTTCCAACGGGGCTGCTGTGTGCTTTTTTCGGGGGGCGGGGCGGGGCGGAACAGATTAATCATGTTCCAATGCATTTCAATGGGAAATGGTGCTTCGACTTACGACCATTTTGAGTTATGTTCACCTTCTGAAATGGATTATGGTCGTAAACCAAGGCACCACTGTACATATGCTGTTTCTGAGACAAACATCAACAGATGTTTTAACCATACAGCTATGGAGAAAGATTGGTACTGAGGTATTTATAGCACAAAATGCCTTTTTTTGGTACTGTATTTACTTTTAAAGAAAGATAATATTGTTAAAAAAAGCAGCACCTCATAACTCTACTACTGTACTAAAACTTCTGGGAATTTTTTATCAGAAGGATACAGGAATCAGAGAAGTGATTCAGAAGCTAAAGACAGATTTTAGGCAACACAGTCATTAATGTCCCTCATATCTGTGGAGAATTCAGAGTATCCTCACAGCAAAGGGAACTTGACTAACGTCCTCCTTCGGAGCATCCCCCCCCCCCGAATTAGGGCTATGTATCTGCTGCCTAAAGCAGTCACCTGAGAATCAGATGTTTAATTTCCTCTCTGCTCCCAAGATGGATGACAAATTAGTCCAGCACACATCGTGATGGGATGCAGAATCAAAGCTTTGCCATCTGTACAGGAAAATCTGCTATTTTTTGAGCTGGGAGAAGACTGTAGAGGAGATGGCTTTAAATCAGTTGGGTATTACTGCTGTTCAAGCAAAGGCCCCTGGCCTGAGAGAAATACTATCCAGAATAGATACAGCCTGTATATCGAGAAAAAAACCCACAAAGAAAATATGTCCTCCTAGGCTTGTGGTAAAATCAGCGGTAAAATCAGCATCTTCCAAATTCTGAGTGATAGTTCAAAAGGCAGCACACATGTTGTAACTGCAGATATTTGCATGCTTACAAACATACAATCACAGCCTAATAAATTATGGCAACTACCAGACTATGAAACTTCCTCTCAAGCTAAATCCCAAAGATTATACAAAATCCTAGTGTCAGATTAGGATGTCGGTGACAAAGGGCAATAATTAACAGTGTCTGTATCAGGGCATCTTTTAAGGAAATGTACATACCTCAAATGAGCATAGGAAGTGGTGGCGCTGCGGGTTAAACCACAGACGCCTCTGTGCTGCAAGGTCAGAAGACCAGCAGTCATAAGATTGAATCCACACGATGGACTGAGCTCCCATCGCTTATCCCAGCTCCTGCCAACCTAGCAGTTTGAAATCATGTAAATGTGAGTAGATAAATAGGTACCACCTTGGTGGGAAGGTAACGGTGTTCCATGTCTAGTCACACTGGCCACGTGACCACGGAAACTGTCTACAGACAAACGCTGGCTCTATAGCTTGGAGACGGGCATGAGCACCGCACCCTAGAGTCGGACACGACTGGACTAAATGTCAAGGAGAACCTTTAACTTTACCTTACATACCTCAAATACAATTCCAATCATTGGTTCCATGGGAAAGATGTCACTTAAGGTCATGTACTCCTAATCTTTGCCTTAGATGGGAGACTTTAAAATATATAGTTGTGGAGTATTATAATTACTATAATTTATTTATGGTTACTCTTGTGGTGCCCCAGGCCACCCTAAGGAGCGCTTAGCACTCTTTTCCTCAGCCTTTCTTTCTACTTGCTCTCTTAGGAAAGCCACCTCCAGTTCTCCTTGTCCCTCTCTCCTGGTTTGGGTGATAATCAGCTCTCTCCGGGCAGACAAGAAATCAGCCATCAACGAAGTCACCTTGTCTGTCTGATTCATGGTACCATGCCTTGGAGCTGGGCTTCCCCCAGTGGCACCATCTGTAGCATCCTCTCCAGTCTCGTCTTGAAGAATAGGCATTCTTGGAGTTTTACTTGGATCATCATCTCCCTCATCCTCCTTGTTGTCTGG